GCATATGGAACGGCGAAGGCCTGAGCTGTCATGGCCACTGCCACCCATGTTCGTGCTGGGGATGAACAGTGGGCCCCTACTTCCTCCACACCCTTCGCCAGTGCCCAGAGCTGCCTCTGACTCACATTTTTCTTGGGAAAAGTCACTTGTGACTGCCAGGCTGTAATCAGAGACATCAGAGGCCGAGCCCTGCCCCCTGCCCTGACTCAGACTCCAGCCGGAAGTGGCGTCTGACATCTGGGCCCTGGGGCCAGGTCAGGGGTCCAGGTGTCAGGCTCTGCTGTCCCTGGCCTTGAGCGTGTCGTCTCCTGGAACTGGTACCTCAAGGGGTCTTCCCGGCTGTCCAGCCTGGTGTGCGGGGCAGGTAGCCAGGGGAGTACACGGGGCCTGTTGGCCCCCCTGGGCCATCTTAGTCAGAGTCACAGGTGACAGCCATTAGCAAGGGCCTTCTGTTCATGAGGACATCACTGCCTGACACCCATACTGTGATAAGCTCCTGTACTTACCTGGCCCTGCTCCACTGCATTTCCCTGAAGTGGAAACTGAGGGACAAGTTTCCCGCCACAGCTGGTAGTAAGTGGGATCAGAATGCCTCCCCATAGCTGACTCCATCAAGGAGTCATCCAGCCCCCTCCCCTGGCAGGAAAGCAGGGGCAGGGGGGGAGCCTTTTCACAGCGTGTTCCCTGTTGGTACACAGTGTCCCTCCCAGAGGGACGCTCTGGTCGTGGTCCTTTCTTTGATTTCACACCCTGAGACAGGATCTTGCTATTTACCCAGGCTGGCCTGGTCTCACAGTGATCCTCCTGCCTCAGCCTTCTCAGTGCTGGGATTACAGATGTGCACCACCGCTCCCCGATCATGGCTGGCCACAGCCCTCCAGGGACCCCCACCTCACCCAGCCGGTGCCTGCAGTGGAGGAAGGCGGGGAGAGGCAGGGGAGAGGAGCTGGGGAGGCCCTGGGTGAGTCAGAGCCTGGAGTCCCCAGAGGGGAGAGGATGGCAGCTGTCTCGGCCCTGGAGCAGAGGGTGGACATGTCCACGGACACCCCGGGCCTCACCTGTACAGCCCCATTGTGGGCCAGCGGAGCTCATCCCACAAGAGAGAGCGGATCTCCCACCCTTGGCTACTTTTTGCTTTGCTGGAATCCAGGACTTCTGGGAACCACTGGGTTGCTGTCCCCAGCCCTTCAGGAGCCACGTCACAGAGGGATAGGTAGCCCACATTCGTACCCCACTGGGTGTACAGGTGAGGAAGTGGGAGGCAGCCCTGGAGACACAGACAGGCCACGTGGGGCTGCCAGCCAGGACTGGAGTCCCTTGTACTGCATGACCTGGTGCAGCTTGGACACCTCTAGTGATGGGAGCTCACCCCTCCTGAGCAGCCTCTCTGGTGTCAGGGGTGACTTGGGACACAGTTTTGCCCACTGGAGAAATCCAGTCCAGCCTCATCTTGTCACCCTGTTAGTGGCCTGACCACAGGGACTGTGACCTCTCGCTGGGGCTGCTATCCTGCCAGCCCAGCAGGCCCAGCTTCTGGAGGAAGACCTTAAGCCTTCATCTCAAGTGTGCTGTCACTGGGGTTGGCAAACAGAGCCCATCTCCATGCCAGGCGGGATGGGTCGTGTGCTGCGCTGCATTGGCAGGGGCTGGGAAGGAGTCTGTGATCAATTAGCAATGTCTGCCGGGTGCAGCAGGAGAAGGTGGGGTGGGCACAGGCCCTGGTCTGTGTCCCCACTGGACTCTGGGACAAAGACTGAGTTCTGCTTCGATTTGACAACTGTTGCAGGCAGCAGGGCTATTTTTGCCTCTGGATTTTATTCAATTTAGCAATGGGCTCCTCATCCTCAGTTGCATCAAGATTTCAGCTCGCATTAAGCTTACGGCCAACCCCCAAAATCTCCAAGTCTCTTTCCCATGAACAGCTGTCAAACCAGAGCTTCCACCACCTTGATGTGATTTCCATTGTTAGATACAGAATTGATTCACATCAGTCCCTTGTTGATGAGCACTTGAATTATTTCCAAATTTTCATAATGGGAGACCGTACCGCTGTGAAAATTCTTATTTCCTTGGTGCAGGTCTCTGGGAACGGGTTGCCGGACCCAGGCATCTTCTGAGAGAGGCGGGCAGTGGCCACCTGACTGCCAGAGAGCATTCTGGAAGCTCTGAACTGTCTGTCAGGAAATCCGGGAGGATCTGAGCAAGTGCCCGAGCCCATTCCGGGATATGAGAGGCACAAGCCTGAGTCCAGCTGCTCCCTGTCTTACCATGGGCCGGGTGACACGTGACCATTCTTTCCCAGAAGGAAACTTTGGGAGAGCTGAGATCTCATCAGGGAGGAGGCAGAGGCTTAGAGTCTGGAGCCCCAGGCTGTTGCCATCAGAAAAAACAGTTTCCGGGCCCGGGGGATTTAGCTCAGTGGTTCTGCTGCCTGCCTCGAAAGTGCAAGGTCGATCCCCGGTACCCACAGAAAAAAAGAAAAGAGACAAAACAGCTTCCCCTGTGAGAGGAGTCAGAGTGCCTCCTGGAGTTTGGTTTGATAACTTGCTAACGAGTACTCTGTCACAGGTGTGCCGGTTTAGACTTCTTCCCACAGTCTAAGTGTACCTGTTGCTGTGCAGACTTGTTGACATGGGGCTTTTTCACTTTAGCAAATGGTCTTTTAAGGCTGAGGAGGAGGACCACAAGTTCCATGCATCCTGGGCAACATAGTGAGACCCTCTCTCAAAAAATAAAGGAGGCTGAGTCATGAGGATCACAGGATCACAGCCTAGGCAACATAGAGACCCTGTCTCAAAAGATTAAAAAAAAAAAAAAAAAGAACTAGGGATGTAGCACTGTGTGAGGGCCTTGGATTCAATTCCCAGTATTGCAAAAACAAACGAACAAATAAAAACTTGAAAAGGGTGGGGATGTAACTCGGTGTGAAGGCCCTGGTTCAACCCTCAGTGCTGCAAAACTAAAATAAAAAATTAAAAAGGGCCAGAGATGTGGTTCAGTGCGAAGGCTCTGGGTCGCCTGCCTCTCTGTCCTTAGCCCCCTCTGTCCTGAGCTGCGGCTCAGGAGGTGGCAGTTCCCACCTCTCCCTGCCTGGGGCACAGTGCCCTGTCCCCTGCTCACAGGCGTGTTCACACCAGAAAGGAGCCCCGGGCAGGGCTGAGACCCTGACATCACCAAAGGTGGATGTCTTCCTTCACCTTGGGCTTGGCTCGTGGGCCAGGGCCCAGCCCACCCCTCCCTGCTGGGCCCCCTGCCCATGGCCACAGAAGGGCCCCTGGGTCCTGCTGCAGGGAAAGCCCCATCTGTCCCCATGTGTCCTGCTAACTCAGTGTCGGGACACTGTCTTAGGCTCCCTCCTTACTTGCAGGCTGGCTGCCCCCCCATCCAGGACTTGGTCCATCCGCCGGGGTCTGTGGTGGGTGCACGCACTCCTTCATGCAGCAGCCGTAGCTGTGGGCACTTCAGCTGCTGTGGCAACAATCTGCCCCCACCCCTCCCGCTCTCCCGCTCTCTGAGCCCAAAGGGACGCGGTAGCCGTCCCTGCTGCCTTTGTCCAGGCCTTGGCCCTCTTTGCTCCAGGGCTCCCTTCCTGAGCCTCACCCTGATTTCTCTCCCAAGTGTCCCTCATTCCTGGGAGCTGACACTGGGCAGCTTGGAGCCAGGCGGGCCAGGCCCTGAGGAGCCGAGGGGATGGAGTGGAGCCTGGCAGGGACAGCAGTCGGCAGCAGCTTTGGAGTGTGAGGCATCCCCACTGGCTGCAGAGGGGGTGTCGGGACAGGACCACAGCCGGCTGGGGGCTGCGTCCGTCCCCTTCCTCCATCGTGTCACTTCCAGTGAGGCCTCAGTCTGCCCAGGGACCAGAGGATCTTTAAAGTCCCAGCCCGGCACCCAGTCACAGGGACAGGGAACCTGGCAGGATGAAAAATGGTGTCAGGAACTTGTTGCTGAAAGTCTCCTTTCTGTCCTCACCCTGCGCTGAAAAGTCCTTTGTGGCGGAAACTGACATCTGCACAGGAGAGAAGCCTTCCAGGTTCACGGCTCAGGATGAAGATGAGTCAGCCTTCTGTCCCTCGAGGCCCCCACCGCTTGGCCCCTCTCCTACTTTGATGTCGTCCTCATGGTGGGGACAGGAGGCAGCAGGGCGGAGGGGAACGTTGGGTCTCGGGCTTCACCCACTGGGGCCTTAGCCCGGACTCTTCTGGGAGCTGCTTGTGTGCCCCTGGGCGGTGCCACTGGGCCTCAGTCTCCTCTCCTGTGTGATGAGAGTTCATGGTTCCTCTTCTGTAGGCCGGTTTTCATATTTAGAGAGAATGTTTGCACAGTGCACTCATTTCCAGGCCTGCCGTAGCAAATACCTGCGACTGGGGGCTTAGACAGCACATTTGTTACCTCCTGATTCTGGAGGCCGGGGGGCTGAGATCAAGGTGCGGGCTTGTTTGGTTTGTTGGGAGCCTCTCCCTGTATTTCACTGCCTTCCCTCTGAGTGTCCATGTCCCAATCCCGATCCTGATCTCTCCCTGGAGAGATTTCCCTCGGCAGAGACCCTCTCTCTCTCTGAACACGGTTTCTGCAGATGGATATTCAGTGGCATGTTTAAGCCAGGCAGCGGAGAGAAGGCAACAAGATCCACTCCCTCGGTGTGTACTGAGCACCTGCTATGTGCCAGGCTCTGCTCTAGGTGCTGAGGGTCACCAGCGACCAGTGGGCCTACACCGCTGTTACTGGGAGCTGACATTCTTGTACTCGAGACCGGCAATAGGGAAAACTGACCAGTAAGGCGGATGTTAGAGGGTGGTGAGTTTTACGGGGCAAACTAGATCTGAGTGTGGCCCCGGGGCAGAGGGGCTCTGTACCATCCTTCTGGTTTGTGGGGTACTCAGTTGTGAGGTGAGGGAAGAAGCAGAGAGAGCAGGTGCTGTGTGTGGGCTCCTCCCAGCTCGGCATGCCCCAGGTTCTGGTTTCCCACTCAACGGAAGCTTCTCCCTCTTTCTCCTCTGCAGTGTGGAGGGCGAGGGCCCCGGCAGCGAGACCACCACATCCCTGGACAGCCCCTCGTCCTACCACCAGGGCCCCTTGGTGTCCTCCTCCAGCCTGAGCCCCGACCACTACGAGCACCCATCCCTGGGCGCCTATGGGCTGTACTCGGGGCCGCCAGGACAGCAGCGCGCACGGAGGCCCAAGCTGCAGCACTCGACCTCCATCCTGCGCAAGCAGGCAGAGGAGGACGCCATCAAGCGCTCGCGCTCGCTCTCCGAGAGCTATGAGCTCTCCTCGGACCTGCAGGACAAGCAGGTAAGTGGGCCACAGAGGAGGGTGGGCGTGGGAAGCACCTGCCCATAGGGATGTCCTCCCTCCCTGTCAGTGGAGGTGTGGCTTGGCCATTATCACGGTCGGCGACAGGCTCCAGCTCAGGGGTGAACATGCCGGGAATCTGGCCTCTGAGTTTCCAGAGAGCGCTGGGCCCAGACTGGCTTCTGCTGCAGTGCTTGGAGGCCTCAGGGAAGGCTCCAGGCTGTTGGACATCCCTCCTGGGCTCTCAGGTAGAATCCTCTGTGAGCAGCACCTTTTATGCTTGTCCCTTGTGGCTGGGATCTGTGCCCAGGACACACAGATCACTTGGAGGGATAGTCCCTATTGCATTTGTCATCTCTGCCCAGCTCCAGAGGGGCTCACAAAGAGCTCATAAAAAGACAACTGCAGCAGAACTATGGAAATAGACATGGGAGAGGTTCTGACCACACACAGGACCGTGGGATAATTATACTCTGAGGATGGGCCTGACACAGCTGCCACTGTCCCCCGCTGCACGTGTGTTACCTGGTGCCCATTGTCACTGGACACGGGGCTGTGTGTGGAGCAGACGGTGGGCAGCCAAGACTGCCACTCATGTATGCATGCTGCGTGTGGTACGGGAGGTGGGTCGTGAGCAGGTTAGTAATCCGAGGACCGTCCAGTTCTAGAGCTTGATGCAGCCTGGAGGGATGATGAAATCTCGGAGGGAACAGAGTGGGCCTGCATGGTGGCAGCACCAAGCAAGGGCAGTTGGCATAAGGACAGGTGGGCCCACGAGCCCCTGGGTGTCCACACTGCTGGCTGCACCCTCTGTCTCCACAGTCACCGAGGCAGCTGTCAAGAGCCGTGGTGCCTGCAGGCCTGAGTGTCACTGGGTCTCTTCTCCAGTTTGCCCCTCTGTCCAGCCTCAGACACCTTCCAGGCTGCCCCTGTTCTGACTGCCTGGTGTCTGTCTCAGCAAGGGCTTGCCAGAGGCCCTGGGTTGGCGGCGTCCCTGTGCAGCCCCATTCTGCAGATGAGGAAATGAGGTCCTCGGAGTTCCAAGCTCCTTCTTGGGCCCATCTGGCTAATGAGGGAGGAGCCCAGGTTGAAACCAGATACTCCCTGGCCTTGAATCCCATACCCATCAGCCTCCAGGCATGCAGGGAGCCCTGGCAGGCATCTAAACCCGCTTGTGCCTCAGGTTCCTGTTTCCAGAGGTGCTGGCTTCAGCTCTTCCAGCTTCTCTTGCAACATTTTCATAACCCTGGAAGCCACAGGGTGTGCCACGGTGGAGGCTTCTGCTACAAAAGACATTTGGGATGCTCGGCGCACTATATCCCCCTGCCCTTTTCTTTCTTTTTTCCCCAATACTGGGGATTGAACGCAGGGCCTTTACATAGAGCTACAGCCCCAGCCCCTTTCTAAACTTTTTAAGTGTGAGATAGACTCATTAAGTTGCCCAAGCTTGAACTTCCACTCCTCCTGCCTCAGCCTCCCAGAGTGCTGGGATTACAGGCATGAGCCACGTCAGGTGAGTCCACTGCACCTTACCACAGTGCTTCTCCATCTTACTTGACCTTGGCACCTGTATTTCACCCTGATCGATGCCCACCCCAGCAGCTCTCAGCACTTACTTCAACCAACTTGGGCCACACAAAGACAGTTCCGGGTTGCGCCTCTGCAGGCTGAGGAAGAAGGTAAGTACCCTGGGCCGCCCTCACTCCCCTCTCCTCCCCACCAGGTGGAGATGCTAGAACGCAAGTATGGGGGGCGCCTCGTGACCCGCCATGCGGCCCGCACCATCCAGACGGCCTTCCGCCAGTACCAGATGAACAAGAACTTCGAGCGCCTGCGCAGCTCCATGTCGGAGAACCGCATGTCACGCCGGATTGTGCTGTCCAACATGAGGATGCAGTTCTCCTTCGAGGGGCCTGAGAAGGTGCATAGCTCCTACTTCGAGGGCAAGCAGGTCTCAGTGACCAACGATGGCTCCCAGCTGGGCAGCCTGGTGCCCTCCGAATGTGGGGACGTGGGCGAGCCGGCCACCCTCAAGTCCCCAGCTGCGTCCAGCGACTTTGCGGACGCCATCACGGAGCTGGAGGACGCCTTCTCCCGGCAGGTGAAGTCGCTGGCCGAGTCCATCGACGATGCCCTCAACTGCCGCAGCCTGCACACGGAGGAGGTGCCAGCCCCGGATGCAGCACGGGCCCGAGACCCCGAGCCCACACCGGCCCTGCACAGCATGGACCACCGCCAGCTGGACGAGATGACGGCCTCCTACAGCGACGTCACCCTGTACATTGACGAGGATGAGCTCTCACCACCGCTGCCTCTCCCGCAGGCTGGGGACCGGCCGTGCAGCACCGAGTCGGACCTGCGGCTGCGGGCTGGGGGCGTTGCTCAGGACTACTGGGCCCTGGCCCACAAGGACGACAAGGCCGACACCGACACCAGCTGCCGCAGCACACCGTCACTGGAGCGGCCCGAGCCACGGCTGCGGGCCGATCACCTCCCGCTGCTCACCATCGAGCCCCCCAGCGACAGCTCAGCCGACCTCAGTGACCGCTCCGACCGCAGCTCGCACAAGAGGCAGAGTGCCTACGAGCGCGGCCTGGGTGGTGGGCAGCAGGGCAGCCCCAAGCATGGGCCCCATGGCGGTGCCCCGAAGGGCCTCCCCCGGGATGAGCCCGAGCTGCGGTCCCGGCCCTCCAGGCCCCTCGAGAGCCACCTGGCCATCAATGGCTCGGCCAACCGGCAGAGCAAGTCGGAATCGGACTACTCGGATGGGGACAATGACAGCATCAACAGCACATCCAACTCCAATGACACCATCAACTGCAGCTCCGAGTCCTCCTCAAGGGACAGCCTGCGGGAGCAGACCCTCAGCAAGCAGACCTACCACAAGGAGACGCGCAACAGCTGGGACTCGCCAGCCTTCAGCAACGATGTCATCCGCAAGCGGCACTACCGCATCGGCCTCAACCTCTTCAACAAGTGAGTCCCCACCGGCCGATGGCCCTGTGGGAGGGTGAGCTCGGGAGCAGCTGCTGGGCAGCCGGCACACTGGGCAGGCAGGGAGGGGCGAGTATGGTGGGCTCCGGGCAAGCGTGTGAGGGCCGCACAGTGTCTGAGGTTGGCGGAGCCAGGCCACTGCCCTCAGGTGGCAGATGCTTACAGGATGGGCCAGACGGGCAGAGTGGAGGCTTCCCTGTGGGACAGAGGAGCTCAGAGTGGGGCCCTACCACCACATCGACCCCATGTCCCTCAGCAGTGAGCTGCTTGTCAGGCTGAGGGGCCGATGGAGAGGACAGGAGCCTTGGTCCAGCACGGAGCAGGCCTGTGTTGGGCTGGACCTGGGGAGTCCGGGGCGTCGGCAGCCCGCCCTGAGCTGGGCTCAAGGGTGAGAGGACATAGTCTGGGGAGCTGTGGGCTTGGGCTGCTCGCCCAGGGGCTCAGCGGAAGGTACTGTGGGGCAGCCCTGAGAGCAAGTCCCTGGAGGGAGGAGGACGAAGAGGGTGTTTAAAGCAGACTATTCTTAGCAGGGCTGAAAATAGCCAGAGGAAGGGGAGGAGGACCAAGCCTCCCTCAGAGGGACCTTGGGAGGCTCTTGGGAAGCCTGAGATTTCACATTATTTCTGGCCCCAGGGCCCATGGGATCTGGGGTCATCAGATACCAGCCAGGCATGGACTCCCCCCGGTGGGGACGTGACCAGCCTTGTGTGGCGCTTCCCCCAAGGCCCCAGAGAACAGTGTGGCCAGTACTGTGGCTGCTTCCGCTGGACTAAGGAGACTCGGGCTGCTTTTGGGGCACCCAGGTGCAAGCAGAAGTGCTCTGTGGACTTCCGGGTGGGGTGGGAATGGAGCACGCAGGGCTCTGTCCTGAAATCTGTCCACACTGTTCCTGGGCACTGCCTCCTCCAGTGCCACCTCAGAGTCAGCCCTGTGTCCTCTGGGGAGATGAGGGGGAATCCCAGCAGTGGGGTAGAGGAAGCCCGGCAAAAGTCTCCTTCAGCCGACCAGCTCTGGTCTCTGCCCACCCTCTTTCTGTGGCTTCTTAATTACATGGGTGGCACAAGGAGACATTCTGCTCAGTGACAGCCTTGAAGTTCAGGGTGACATCGTCTGGCTATTTTGGAGTCTCCCCATTCCAAGTTTTTTGGTTGTTTTTTTTTCTGGCAGTGCTGAGGATTGAAGGGCCTTCCCACTGAGCTACATTCCAGCCCTCTTTATTTTGAGACAGGGTCTCACCAAGTTGCCCATTAAGTGGCCCCCAACCTGCCACCCTCCTGTCTCAGCCTCCCGAGTCTCTGGGATTATAGTCCTCCCGGTCTTTTTGTCTGTGTTTGTATGGAGTGTTAGGAACAGTAGCCAGCCGTGGTGAGGAACACAGCCCGAGGCCAGGCCTGCCCACTTCCTGGGGGAGCATCCTCGGGCAGGGCCCATCCTGCTCCCCAGTGCCCTCATGTGAGATGGGGCACATGCCAATGGCACCCACCCCATAGGGCTGAGGCGAGAAGCACTGGTGTATAGGAACCAAGGAAGGCGCCTGTGTGCATTCGCTGCTGTCCCTTGGCCTTGCAGCATCATCAGCAGGCCATTGGGCCTGGTGCTTCTGCTTTTCCATGGCGGTGGGCGTGGACATGCCCCTCGAAGAGCGTCCCCAGAGTCCCCAGGAGAACAGCAGAGAGGAGCCTTGGGGTCTCAGGCAGGCACGTTGTTAATTGAAGTGGCCACTGCCCAGTTAGTGTTTAAGGGGTCCTGGCTCCTTTTCCACCCTCAGCCGCTGGGTTTGATGGTGCCTGGCCCCTCCTCTTCCCTGTCCACACTCAGTCTTACCTTTTCCCTCTACCCAGCAGGATAGATGTGTCTCTCTGTCATTTGAAGTTGATTTTCCCTGCTGGCTTCAGAGGCCCAGCTTCTATCCATCTCTTTTGGCTCTATGGGGTTTTTGTAAAACACTTGCCCCCTTTTCCACTGACTGTTTGTCACTTTTGAAGACATTGTATCACTAGCGGTTATGGATATGACTCCTCTAATTATGGATACTTTCCCTGTCACTTTTCTTTCGTTATTTTTTGGGAGTTTGTTATTTAGATGTCATCACTCTGCATAGAATGGACTTTACAAAGTCTCTGGCTCAGTGGTGTTTGGTTCTATACCTTTTCTTTTTGTTTCTGCTCTTGTCTGATAGAACCATTTAATTTTATTTAGTCAAATCATCAGTGGTTTTTTTTTTAAATTACTTTCTCTTTTTATGCTTTGCTTTATTTCATTCCTGCATTTGGCAGTGCTGGCATGGAACCCAAGGCCTCGTGCATGCCAGGTGCACCTGACCCCCTGAGCCACACGCCCGGGCACTTTGTGTCTTATTTTGCGAAGCTGTGCTCCTGAGTCCTAACAAGGTCTTGGAATTTTGCCTTTAGTGACTTCATGGCTTTGTTTTCCACACAGTAGGATTTAAATCTGGAATTTCTTTGGAGAATGAAAGAAGGTGAGGGTTACACCTTGAGAATTGGCCGTTTCTGCCCTGATGTCATCGTGTGGCCCTGCGTCTGTGCCTGGCATCTGTGCCTGCCGCTTGCCAGGTCCTGGCTCCGTCTGGGTCCTCCCCTCCCTTAGCAGGTCCTGGCTGGGCCCCCCTGCATGCCCGGCACCGTCGCAGGGCCCAGGACGCATCTGCACACAGAACAAAGGCCCCGGGAGCGCCCCACAATGGCTAAAGGATCTGTGTGCTGATTCTGCCGACATCAGCCATTTTCCAGTTTTAATTTATTGGTGCTGGAGATCAAACCTAGGCCTCTGCACAGGAGGCAGACACTCACTGAGCTGCACCCAGGGCCATCAGGTTCCACCCTTGCCCTTTTACATAATTTCTTATTAGGATGGAAACCTCTCCATTTTTGTTTTTAGAAACTCCCTTGCTCCCTGTGAAATTGTTCCACAGGAATTTTGAAGTCAACACATTCAGGCTCCTAAAGAATCCTGATGACGCTGGAGTTGTCCTCCAGCAGGGCTCCTTGGCCACCTGTGGTCCGCTGGTGCCACGCTGAGCAGTGCAGATTGGGACGGGGACCCCTCTGCAGCCTGGGCCACTGGGCTGTGTCCAGGTGGAGATCCCAGGCTCCCTTTCCACAGAAGCTGGTGTAGGTTTGTGTGGCATGGACCCCCACAGCCCTGGCCAGGTGCCCCCCTCCGCCGTGCTCCAGGCTCAGTTTCCTCTGTGACCCCATGGGGTCCTGATGCCAGCTCAGGAGGTGTTGGGATCCAAGGGGAAGCCACTTCTCTACAGCTGTGTCGTTCACTTACCAGTGCCTCCACCCACAGCCCATCCATTACCCTAAGCTCACCGCCAGGGCCTTCTGGAGCCTCTCTGGGGCCCGGAGCTGCTGCCTGACCACTAATTAGAGTGAAGGACCCCAGGTCCCTGCAGTGGTGGGACCAGAGCTGGGCGCTTGAGCTGGGCAGCAGTGTGCCTGGTTTGCAGAGCAGGCCCTGAAGCTGTGAGCCAGGGCTCTGCGGCCCATGCCTGGGTCCCCCTACTGCTGTCCCCTCGTTGCTGTCTTGGGCTGGGGGAGTGGGTGCTGGTCACAGAGAGCACGGAAGCAGCACTGGGTGAGACAGTGCTGGGACTCCTGCAAGGGCTGGGAGCTGTGGGCGG